GTGGCCTGCCTAACCTTATCAATTCTCATGCCTGCTCTCAAGCTTCATCTGGACCATCATACTCATTAATTTACTTCTACTCCTGACTATGGGTCTCACAGCTGAGACCTTCTGTTCAGAGAGCCTCTGGGTGAGAAGTTTTTGCCCTCCAGAATCTGCCGACTGTGGTTACCTCTCATACCAGACCTTACCTCTCACTTCCCCTTACATTTCCTCCTGGCTCCTAGCAAATTTTCTTGTTATGTGTTTTTGTCCTGAAGGTCACTTTCAGGAAAGCAGGGGTCTGTTCTGCTTACTATCCTAATCTCAGTATCTACGCAAAGTACTTAGGGCTCGCCTTCAACAGTATCTGTTGAATGAATTGGCGAATGAACCAGATTGAGCTATTCCAAGGCCATTCTGGGGCTCTCCAGTGGACGACGTGGTTCCCTTCTCTAATGCCATCGAAGTCGTGGCTGGCTTGGCGTTTGGGTTACAACAAATGCTGACAGGTCATGAAATCTGCTCAAAGTAAAGGTCACTTCATCGTAAAATTACGAATTTCAAAAGTTGCCTGAGCGTTTTGAGGCCTAAAACCCAAACATCCATTTCTCTCCTCTGGGAGGGTGGGAGCCAAGCTCCACGTTTTCCCTCCAGGGCGGAGGCCGGCAGCCCCTAAAACTCCGCCTCCGACCCCCAACATCGAAAGCCCCGCCCCACAGCCCTTTGACTTACAGCCTGAACTGCTGATTTGGCCCCTACCCCACCTCTGGCCCACTTTCTGCAAGTCTGCAGCCGCGCCATCTCTACCCCTTGTACTCGGGGCACAGAGCTCACCCCAGATGCTGGATTATTTGGAGTCTAGCAGGAGTTTAGGTCCGGATTCACCTGGCCCTCCTGTCGCTGGGCCCGCCACCAGGCACCGCACTAGCCACCCTATGAGATGCGAGCGGGGTCTTTCAGGCAGTTGAACGGGCAGCCCCTGCTGGGAGGGGCCTTGCGGTGAGGCCAGGACCGGCGAGCGAGTGGGCGTGGCCACGCTTGGTGGGCGGGGCGGGACGGAGCTGCTGGCCCGGCCGGCGGCGGCGGTGTAGAGCTGCGCGCCCTCTGGCTTGCGGTAGGACTCGGCTGGCGTTTGGCCGCGGGCGGCTGAAGTGACTGGAAGAGAGTTTCTAGGGGGTCCTCTGGCCTGGCGTTGATTTTTTTTTCTTTTTGGGTCACACCCGGCGATGCACAGGGGTTACTCCTGACTTTGTACTCAGGAATTACTCCTGGCGGTGCTCAGGGGACCTTATGGGATGCTGGGAATCGAACCCGGGTGGCCCCGTGCAAGGCAAACTCTCTACCCCCTGTGTTACCGCTCCAGCCACCCCCCCACCCCCCCTCCCCGGCGTGGATCTTGCCGGACTCTCTTTCTCCTCCAGTCTTTGTAGTGGGTCATGCCTGGCACATGGTTGGCGCCCAGTGTTTGTGGGCGGCTGGCGGTGGTCAAGAGGCTTATTGTTCTCAACCCACTCGCTATATTGTCTGTTGCTCGGACTCAAAGTTCTGCTTTTCTTCTTGGACTTGCTCGGCTTATGTGATTCCTGGAGACCCTTCCTGACACAGGCTTTTCTCTTCACTGTTTTAACCATTGTGACTGTTAATTTCATTGAGTGTTTTTATTTTTCTGCGTTGTTCTAAGGAGAGCATATTTTAATTCGTAATAAGGGCACCCTTTTATTTTCTTTTGCCCTGTTTCATTTTCGTTTACACCACCCCAAATGATGTGCTTGACACGTCATGCAGTGACAGGGCTCGAACCTGGGGCTTTGTGCCTGGTGGGAGGCAGTGGGCTCCAGCCTGGTGCTCCACCTCTCCGGTCCTTTCATGTTCATTATAAATAAATCCCACCACCTTTTTACTATGGGAATTGCAGTGTAACCCTCAGAACTCCAAAACTTTGTCTACAATTACTGACAAACAGGTGGAGAGTGACCCTTAAACTGTTATCAAACCCAAGTTTCTAGTTTAGGCACCCGCTGAAGGCCAATTACTTGAAAGACAAGAGTTGATTTGAGAACGCATGTCCCCACACCCCACAGAGATTTTTTTTCCCCCACAGAGATTTTAATGCTCAATTGGAACTTGCTGGTTGGGAAAGGAAACGAGAAGTTTGAGGTCGTAGGCAAAGCAGGGAGTTCTTTTCTTTTTCTTTTTTTAATTTTTTTTATTTTATTGAATCACCGTGAGATAGTTACAAGCTTTCATGTTTGGGTTGCAATCACACAATGATCAAACAGCCATCCCTCCACCAGTGTATTTTCCCCACCACCAATATCCCCGGTATACCCCCCCCTTTCCCACCCTCCCCCTGCCTCCATGGCAGATAATATTCCCCTTCATACTCTCTCTACTTTTGGGCATTATGGTTTGCAATACAGACACTGAGAGGTTATCATGTTTGGTCCTTTATCTACTTTCTGCATACATCTCCCATCCCGACTAGTTCCTCAAGCCATCATTTTCTTAGTGATCTCTTCTCTATTCCAGCTGCCTTCTCCCGTTTGCTCATGAGGCAGGCTTCCAATATGGAGCAATCTACCTGTCTCATGTATCTACTTGACACCTCATGTTATGTTGTTTTATACTTCACAAATGAGTACAGTCCTTCTATGTCCTTTTCTTTCTGACTCATTTCACTTAGCATGATACTCTCCATGTCTATCCATTTATAAGCAAAGTTCATGACTTCATCTCTCCTGACAGATGCATAGTTTTCCATTGTGTAGATGTACAGCAGGGAGTTTGTCTCCACACTGTTCATGCTGGCGTTGGTGGTTAGTGGATCCTTAGAGAATAGGTAGCTGTTTCTTGTGGCATGAGAGGCAATAAGCCTTTTCCAGAGTCTGCATACTCACTCTGAAGAGTCCTTTTAGGGTTACTATTGTTGGTTTCTCTAAGGGAGAGAGGACTTTGTGTATGATAAGCCCCAGGAGTGTTCTCTAAGGATCTGTTGTTACTCTCAACGCACAACCATGGCTGACCTGAGTTTGATCCCTGGCACCCAATATGGTCCCCAGAGTCTACCAGGAATAAGTCCTGAGCACCTCTGGATGTGGCACCAAAAATAACAAAAAAAAATAATTCCCAACTCTAGTCCCTGATCCTTCCCCTTCATCCTATTTCCTAACCCAAATCACTGACAGGGGTCTAATTTATTTGACTTGTAACCTATTTATAGCTCATAGTTTTACTGTGACTCATTCATTTCTCAAGATGGCCTTATAATTCTGACCTTTGAACTTTAAACTCGAGTCCTAAGCTTTAGGTCTTGGCCCTAGTCCTTATCTAACCCAGCTTACTTTTCTACTATAAAGTTACTATCCTTTTTTTTTTTTGGATGGGGAAGGGGTTGGTTTTGTTTTATTTTTATTTATTTTTTTTTGCCATATTCAGGGTTCTCAGGACATATTCCTAGCTCTGCGCTCAGCGATTACTCCTGGAAAGTTTGGGAGACCATACGGAGTGCCTGGGATAGAACCCAGAGGGGCCATGTTCAAGCTAAGCACTCTACCCACTATACTGTCACTTTTCCCACCCTCTCTTCCCTCCTCATGCATTATTTTGTGAAATTTTCTATTACTCTTTAGTTTCTCTTTCATGTTTTTATTCTGAATCATGGGGTTCAAGGAACCATGTGTAGTGCTGAAATCGAACCCAGGTTGACCACATGCAAGGCAAGTGCCCTACCCACAAGTGCTCTCCAGCCACATCCCCTCCATTTTCTTATCATGAGCAATGACCACATAAATACAAATGAAGAAACTCATGCCTCCAAAAAGGCAATACTTACAATCTGAGACTTTTCATCACTACTGAGCTATATTTGTGTCATATGAATGACCTGGGTTTCAATGCATTATAATCTGATTTGAGAAATTTCAACAATATCATAAAGGAGATTCAGAGTTTTATTCAAAGGAAGATCAGTAAGCACAATACTTGGAATAATACATCATCATAATAAGTTTCTAATTACTCACAAACGCTGACTCATTTAAGTCTCACCACACAAAACTTAGATGCCAGGGAAGGCATCAAGCTGGTATTGATGGTCTGAGGAGAAGAAGTTCATTGGAGGGCAGATTTGTGAAGTATATACCTGACCATTGATCAGAGTCTCTTTGCAAAGTCTGGTCATCTAAAGACTGGACATTCCTCACATACTTTCTTTTCATTTAAATACTTGTTCCAAACTTAAATTTTTATAGCATGGGGCTCTCCAGCAGTGCTCAGTGGTCAAAGGCTACTGTCTACAGGAGTGATCCCTGAGCACAGAGCACAGAGTCTCCTGAGTATTGGTGGGTGTGACTCCAAAACTAAACCTAACCAAAAAACAAAATTGTCTAGTAAATAAAATAACCAAACATCAACTCAAAACTTAGATGCCAGGGAAAGCATCGAGCTGATATTAATGGCCTGAGGAGCAAGAAGTTGACTGGAGGGCAGACTTGTGAAGTGTATGCCTGACCACTGACCAGAGTACTTGAGCAAAGTCTGGTCATCTAAAGACTGGACATTCCTCAAATATTTGCATTTCATTTAAATACTTGTTCATATAGTTAAGGAATGCTTAACTAGTTAACCACTAAACTAATGGAAGAGTCTTTAGTGGCAATTCACAAAAAGAGAATATAGACTTGTTGTCAGAGCAATATTACAGCAAGTAGGTCACTTGCCTTGCACACAGTTGACCTGGATTCAATGCCCAGGAATGATCCCTGAATGCAGATCCAGAAGTAAGTCCTGAGCACTACTGGGTATGGCACCAATCCCCCCAAATCCCCCCACAAAAAAGAAGAAAAAAAAAGAGTGAACTAATCTAGTGTCCAAGTCATGTAGTTTGAGTAAGAGAACATAGTACCACTAATATTTGTAAAAGATTTGTATTAACCAAGAGAAATGTTTGCCAGCCAGATTTTCTGCTGAGAGTCATTTATTAAAAAGCAAATCAATGAGTTTGATCACAATTGTTGATTTTCTTTAGCATTCACCTCTAAGTGGACTATACTTAAAGAGCCAAATTGATCATCTGGGGATTCAGCAAGTTCTATAATTCTCATGGTGAGTTTAGGCAACTTCCTGTAAGAGAAGTATAAATAAATAAGTAAATAGATAAATAAATCAAACTTGGGGAAATTAAGAGATAACTACCACATTTGTAACTATATCCATAGTTTATTTAGATGAATGTTAAATAATTATTCTGTATTAAGACAGGCAAGAGAAATTCCAATTTCATTGGAGAGAAAAAAACAACAACAACAATGGAAGTGAGCAGAAAAGAGGAGAGCTAAGGATGTCGAAGCCTATGTGAATCCTGGGAAAATTAATGGGAATTTTCACTAGGCAAAAAGGTTGTGAGTAGAGACAGCGAAGCAGAGGCTGGTCAGAGGCATAGCTGGGTCTTTAGGAAGCACAGGAAGTTAAAGACCAGTGTCTGGGGACTGACTAGCTAGGTTCAAGAGTCAGTCCTGTCAGTTCCCAGCATTGTGGCATTGGGAAAATCACATTCCTCTCTAGACCTCTGAATCATTGAACAACGCATGTAGCTAATAGCAATACCTCCCACATGGTGGAGTCTGTGAGGAGTACAGGAGAGGAGAGGAGTTAAGGACAGAACCTGGGACTGGGGAGATAGGTCAAAGGGTGGGGTATAATCTTTGCATGTGTGAGATTCCACATTTGATCCCCTGAGCTCCACCAGGCTTAACTCTCCTGGCTCCCAGCACTGCCCAGACAGTGCTGTATCATCAGACCTGAGTACCCAACTAGGCCAAGTTAGTCTGGAGTTTCCTCTGTGCTCAGAGATCACTCCTGGTGGTGCTCAGAGGACCAGATGAAGTGCTGGGAATCAAACCTAGGTCGGTCACATATAAGGCAAGCAACTGTACCATTTCTTTGCCCCGTTTTTGCCCCCCGCCCCCGACATTTAAAACAAAAAACTTTCTTTGTGATCTTATAAAAAATGGAGTTTCTATTCTGCTTTGGTGAAAGACTCTAGGGAGGAAGCCACTATTCATTCATTCATTTTTTTCCTTACACCGTAGCTAGTCATTTTACTAAACTTAGCATGACTCTTTTCATGTGTGTTTGTGCAAAATCTTTAGTTCGTTATTTTTAATTGATTTGCTATAGTATTAGAATGAACCTTGCTTTTTCTCTCAATGTAATGTTTGAAATATACCTGTATTGTTAAGTGTACATCTGATTTATTTGGAAAGTTGCTTGGAGTTTCAGGAATACATCTACTGGTTTCTTTCTTTCTTCTTTTTTTTTTTTTAGGTCTCACCTAGCAGTGTTCATGACTTACTTCTAGATCTGTATTGAGGGATTATTCCTGGTAGTGATTGATTCCGGCTCGTCCATGTACAAGGCAAGTGCCCTACCCACTGCAATATCTCTCCATTCCCTGTGTTAGTTTCTTGACAGGTTTCACCTACACTGGCACCAGCCTGCCATCTGCCTCTGTGAATAACTATACAACACTAAGTGTATATCACTTTACAAAAAGTTTTTTAAAATTTAATTTAATTTAATTTTTCCCCACTGACCCTGAAAGAGCCTTCAGTGCGGCACTGTTGGGAAGGATGAGTAAGGAGAGGCTGCTAAAATCTCAGGGCTAGGACGAATGCAGATGTTACTAATGCAGATATTACTGGTGCCCACTTGAGCAAATCGATGAATAATGGGATGACAGTGATACAGTGAATTTTTATTTTTATATAGTTGTTCATGGGCTGGAGCGATAGCACAGTGGTAGGGCGTTTGCCTTATAAGAGGCCAACATGGCCGACCCGAGTTCGATTCCTCCGCCCCTCTCGGAGGGCCCGGCAAGCTACCGAGAGTATCTCGCCCGCACGGCAGAGCCTGGCAAGCTACCTGTGATGTATTCGATATGCCAAACACAGTAACAACAAGTCTCAAAATGGAGACAGTTACTGGGCCCGCTCGAGCAAATCGATGAACAACGGGAGGACCGTGATCCGTGATGTTCTGTAGTAATTGGCCTCTATAGTTGTTCATGGTGATTTATTACATTCACTAATCCATCACCAATCCCACCATCATTGCACTCTCCCCACCACCATTTTTTATAATTCTCCTAACCACCACCCAAACCCGCCCCAATAGCATGTCCTAAATTATTTTGTATGCTTGTTATGATTTTGTTGTTACTGTGTTTGGCATATCAAATACGTCACGGGGAGCTTGCCAGGCTCTGCCATGCGGACGAGATACTCTCGGTAGCTTGCCGGGCTCTCCAAGAGGGGCGGAGGAATTGAACTCGGGTTGGCCATGTTGGCTGCGTGCAAGGCAAATGCCCTACCACTGTGCTATCGCTCTAGCCCTTGTTATGAATAATTTGCAAATGATGAATAATTTACAGATGATGAGGGAACAGATCTGTAGTTATCACCAGCATGAGCATTAGGCAGCATTCTGATCTTTGCTACTATCACAAGTGATTATTCTTTTTATCTCAAGATATTATACATATATATATATATATATATATATATATATATATACATGTACCTCCTGTACTATCTCTCTGGCCCCTGTCTTAATTCTTTTAAATTCTTATTTGAGATAATTGCCATGTATCTTATAGTTTTTTTTCTGTTTTGAATTAAATGATATATTATTTAAAATTTTATTTTCCAGTTTGGTGTGTGCTACAGAGATATATTTTTGGTTCTGTAGACTGATCATGTATACAGCTAAATTTCAGGACCCCCTAAGTAGTGTGAATAGTTTGTGATTTGGGCTACTTTAATATCAATGATTTTAATATCTTCCTTTTTCTGGGTCTTTAGTAGACTAAGGTGCCATCTATCAAACAAAAAGTAGACAGAAAAAAAAGCAAAAAAGTTTATTGTTTATTCATCTATAGTGGCCCTTATACAGGTATTTTGCATTAGAGGGCAAATGTTTTTCAAATAGTGATTCAGGGACAGACTCTGTGATGATTAATTAAAAACAACTATTGCAGAGGCCACACCTGATGGTATTCAGGCCCGGGGGTATTCTGGCACAGTGGTGCTCAGTAGCCTTTAAGGTCACAACAAGTGGTGTTTGGGTAGGGGGATACTGAGTCCAGGAGTTACACCTCTACCCTTTTTTTTTCTTTTTGGGTCACACCTGGTAATGCTCAGGGGTTACTCCTGGCTCGTGCACTCAGGAATCACTCCTGGTGGTGCTTGGGGGATCATATGGGATGCTGGGAATCGAACCTGTGTCGGCCATGTTGGCTGCGTGCAAGGCAAATGCCCTACCCGCTGTGCTACCTCTCCAGCCCCATACACCTCTACCCTTTGATAATCAACTTTTGTTTTTGATAATCAATTTTATACAACATCTTGATGGGACCTCAGTTCCCAGATATTTGATCCAAAATTATTCTGCATATTTCTGTGATGGTATAACATTCACATTAAAATTAGTGGACTTTGATTAAAACAGATTATCTTCAATTATCGCTGGAGCGATAGCACAGCGGTAGGGCGTTCGCCTTACAAGCGGCCAACATGGCCGACCCGAGTTCGATTCCTCCGCCCCTCTTGGAGAGCCCGGCAAGCTACCGAGAGTATTCGATATGCCAGACACAGTAACAACAAAGTCTCCAATGGAGACGTTACTGGGCCCGCTCGAGCAAATCGATGATCAACGGGAGGGCCTTTACCTTTTACCTTTATCTTCAATAATGTGGGTAGGCCTCAATCAATGAGTTGGTTCTGAATAGAACAAGACTGGTGTTCCACAATCCAAAAGAAAGTTCTGCCAGCAGATGGCCTCAGACACCATTCTATGGTATCCAGTTTCACTTCCTCTCTTTTAAGTTACAAGGTTGAAAGAGACATTAGACTGAAGGCCTACTTGATGAGGGCCATTATCCAGCTATAATTGGAGGGGATTTAGCAGGATTTCCTATGAATGAGCTCAGGTCAAAAATAATCTGACAGCGACTAGGGGCTGTACCCAGTGGCAGAGTGCCTCCACTCTGTTTTAGGTCACAAATTTGATCCCTGGCACCGCCCACATTATCAAATGAGATTGTCAGCACTGCTGTGATTCCTCGTGCCCAAAAAGGTGACTCTGGCTCAATGAAGTGTATACAGCACTACAAGTGTGTCAGTTCAAGTCATCATAGCAATAATTGCAGCAGATAGAAAAGAGAAGGGAAAGTACTCAGACAGAAATAGAGCTCACATGCAAGCTCTTTACAAGTTGGCCCGAGTCATGAAAGTGCCTAAAATGCTTTGCATGCAGGAGGCCCAAGTTTGATCTGGCACTACAAGGTTCCCTGAATATTGTCAGGAATGGCCTGTAAGCACTCTGCTGGGAGTAGCTCTTTTGCACAACTGACTGTGGCTCCAAAAGAACAGACAAAACATCCTTATGATTTCTATATAGTGAGACTAGAGGGCAATTTTGTTATAGACCTTCCCCAAATGAGTAATATTTATAATAGAATACAAATCAAGTGAGCCTTGCAAATTTGTTGTTGAGATTATGTTAGAAAATGTTGCCCTTCGACAAAAACCTCATGGGAAGGGGGGCATTCCGGTCCGTCCTTCACGCCCTACCGAGGTCACCAGTTGCCCCCCACGAGCAGCTTTCCAGCACGGCCACGGCCCCAGAAGCACAAGGACTTAATGCAGAACCCAGCAGCTTGGAGCAGAAAAGTGAACGGACTATGTGTTAATTCAGGCCATCATGTCTGCCTGGAGGGGAAAGGGTGTTGCCCCATTCGCCCTCTCCTCTCTGGAAAGAAGATTGCGGCCACATGGGCGCCTTGTGGAGAGCAGTTGTGAGTGGGGGGTGCGGGGGCGACAAAAACCTCATGGGAAGGGGGGCGTTCCAGTCCGTCCTTCACACCCTACCGAGGTCACCAGTTGCCTCCCACGAGCGGCTCTCCAGCACGGCCACGGCCCCAGAAGCACAAAGACTTAATGCAGAACCCAGCAGCTTGGAGCAGAAAAGTGAACAGACTATGCGTTAATCCAGGCCATCATGTCTGCCTGGAGGGGAAAGGATGTTGCTCCCTTCCGCCCTCCTCCCTCTGGAAAGAAAGATGGCGGCCACATGGGAGCCTTGTGGACAGCAGGTATGAGCCAGGGGTGCGGGGGCGACAAAAACCTCATGGGAAGGGGGGCGTTCCGGTTCGTCCTTCACGCCCTACCGAGGTCACCAGTTGTCCCCCACGAGCGGCTCTCCAGCACGGCCACGGCCCCAGAAGCACAAGGACTTAATGCAGAACCCAGCAGCTTGGAGCAGAAAAGTGAACGGACTATGCGTTAATCCAGGCCATCAAGTCTGCCTGGAGGGGAAAGGGTGTTGCCCCATTCTCCCTCTCCTCTCTGGAAAGAAGTTGGCGACCACATGGGTGCCTTGTGGAGAGCAGGTGTGAGCCGGGGGTGTGGGGGCGACAAAAACCTCATGGGAAGGGGGGGCGTTCCAGTCCGTCCTTCACGCCCTACCGAGGCCGCCAGTTGCCCCCCACGAGCGGCTCTCCAGCATGGCCACGACTCCAGAGCATAGAAACCAATCTCTTAATTATCTGACTCTCAGTAGAAATACTTCCAAAATAGCGGAAATCCAAAACCAACATTTAATTCTTGAACCCAGCTATAGAAAGCGAATCACTTCACAATGCTTTCTCAGCATGTCTGATTTGGGGGGAGAGGGTAAACTCTAAATAATAGTGGTGCATCTTTTATTGAAACAATGAATCTAACCAAAGCAGATAGAGTATCAACTAGAATTCATCTGCCTCGCAGGCATTGGGAGGGGTGGGGGGTGGGATTTTATTGGGGTTCTTCGTGGTAAAAAATAAGTATTGGTAAAGAGAAAGGTGTTTGATATTTGCATGACTGAGACCTAAACCTGAAAGCTTTGTAACTTTTCCCACAGTGATTCAATAAATAAATAAATTATAAAAAAAGAAAATGTTGCCCTAAAATTAATACAGAATTACATAATTTTTAAAATAAAAATTTATTGATTTATCACTGATTTACCACACTCTAACATCCTAGTACTATAGATTCCTTCCTGTATGTGTATGAAACTCTGCACCTACCATCAAAGTTACCTAGTGCCCTCCCACTTTAAAAATTGCTTTTCTACTCATTGCTTCTAACCCTTTTCCCTTTTTTCACTATCTCACGTTTTACTCTCTTGAATTTTTATTTCAAGATAATTTGTCTCAGACCCACTTCCATGCCTCTTAATACTATAATGATTTCCACAGTATTAGTTTTTTTCTTTGACCTCACAACCTTAAAGTCATGAATGGTGATATAGCTCAATGGCAAAACATATGCTGTGCATATATTAGACCCTGGGTTCAATTCCTGGAATCAACGGAAAGACCTTAAAGTCAAAGACATAATAATCTTTATGGGACTAAGAAAAGCCTGGTCCAGTCAATACAAAGATAACCTTTAATGGGCCTGGGAGACTGCTCAGTGACAAAAGTTCCTGACTTGCTCTGAGTTTGATACCTAGTACCACCCAGATGCAACAAGTATGTAATTAGTGTCTCTGTTTACTGTGAATCCTGATACTGCAACAGAGTGCAGCTTCTGGAACACCACAACCAGATGTGTACAAGACTCCTGGCCAGCATGGCAACTAAAGATATGTGAGCATAGCAGCTAGGAGTGTGACCCTGGGTGGGCATGAGTATAGGCATTACAGTGACCCCTGGCAAGCTAACTAAAGGAGTGTGGCCCTTATGAGCACATGTACAAGCACTGCAACTTAGTGTGTGACCCTTGGTCAGCACTGCAACCAAACTTGTGAGCAGCATAGCCAAGTGTATGTGATCCCTGGTCGTGACAACACCAGCATGAAGGGGGAGGGGGGAGGCGGGCACAGAAAGAATAACCTTTCATGTTCTAATTAGTATCATTTTTCAAAATGCCAGAAATTAGAAAGAGAAAGAGTAAAATAGATCTTATTTACTCCCAAATTATCATACCAAAATGCATTGTCCCCCTGAAGATATGTTTGTAGAGTTGGTAGTACAGAATGAGCATGCAGTATGTATGTGTATATATATATATATATAGTATATATATATTTATATATATAGTATATATATATTTATATATAAGAGGATAACAGGAACTGTAGCACTGTAGCACTGTCCTCTTGTTGTTCATCAATTTGCTTGAGCGGACCCAGTAATGTCTCCATTGTGAGACTTGTTGTTACTGTTTTTGGCATATTGAATACACCATGGGTAGCTTGCCAGGCTCTGCCATACAGGCGGGATACTCTCAGTAGCTTGCTCTCTGAGAGGGGCAGAGGAATCGAACCCAGGTCGCCTGGGTCGGCTGTGTGCAAGGCAAACGCTCTACCTGCTGTGCTATCTAATTGGGTAAAATAACAGTAATTTGACTAAGTAAAGTAAAGGCCCTCCCGTTGATCATCGATTTGCTCGAGCGGGCCCAGTAACGTCTCCATTGGAGACTTTGTTGTTACTGTGTTTGGCATATCGAATACATCACGGGGAGCTTGCCAGGCTCTGCCGTGCGGGCGAGATCCTCTCGGTAGCTGGCCGGGCTCTCCGAGAGGGGCGGAGGAATCGAACTCGGGTCGGCCATGTTGGCCGCGTGCAAGGCAAACGCCCTACCCGCTGTGCTAATAGTAATTTGACTATTTAAGGAAATGTCTGCACTTAGAGATGCACTCTGAAGTATGTAGGAGTGAGGTGATATGATATGAGACTTTGTTAATAGACTTCAGCAAAGAAAAAGAAGAAATAAAAGGATAGAGGTAGGAAATGTGTCAGATACTTTGTACCTTGTTAAATCTTTATTAAATAATAGGCATATAAAGGTTATTATACATTGTCTATAATTTTATGTGTATTTAAATTTTTTAAAAAAAATTTAAAGCCATTGGGTCTGGAACGATAGCACAGTGGGTAGGGCCTTTGCCTTGCACGTGGCTGATCCGGGTTCGATTTCCAGCATCCCATATGGTCCCCCGAGCACCGCCAGGAGTAATTCTTGAGTGCATGCGCCAGGAGTAACCCCTGTGCAACACCGGGTGTGACCCAAAAAGCAAAAAAACAAAACAACAACAACAACAAAAACCTTCGAAAAACAATTTAAAGCCATTAATACATCTTAAAAATAACAAATATTTTCTTTTTTTTGTTTTTTTTTTGGGTCACACCCAGCGATGCACAGGGGTTACTCCTGGCTTTGCACTCAGGAGTTACTCCTGGCGGTGCTCAGAGGACCATAAGGGATGCTGGGAATCGAACCCGGGTCGGCCGCACGCAAAGCAAACGCCCTACCCGCTGTGCTATCTCTCCGGCCTCAAAAAATAAGAAATATTTTCAAAACAATAATGAGCTCTTTTTGGGGGGGCAAGGGAGGGACACAGCCCACATTGCTCAGGGCTTACTCCTAGCTTTGTACTCAGGAATCACTCCTGGCAGTGTTTAGGAGACTACATGGAATGCCAGGGATTGAACCTGGGTCACTGCATGCAAGGCAAGTGTCTGACCCACTGTACTATTTCTCTGGCCCACAATATTGAGGTCTTAACTATAGTTAGTTTACTACTGAAAATGAAAAATAAGAGTGATTTTACTTACACATGGTCCATCATGCAGCTTCGTTATGTTAAGCCCTTCAAATCTGCAAGGAATTTTATTTTGAAATAATTATTTTTTCCTCTATAGTATATTCTAGATTATGACTAAATTGCACTTGATAATCCCTTACTAAATTTGAGAAGGAAACATTGTGCAAACGGTGATTTCTTATTTAGCAAATGTTTTTAAATAGGGGTTAGGGAGTGCATTTCCCTTCAGCTCCCAAGCTAAGCCCCAACACTGCTAGGCAGAGCATTGGTGGCCTGGGGGCCCCAGGCACCAGTGGGGGTGGTCCTTACAAACAGTTCTTTGGCAGTCATCCCTCAGATGTCTGTGATTTCCAGCCTTCTCTGAGTCTATGATGTGCCGAGTCTCCCAGATTCTGTTGGCCATTATCTGAATCAGCGATAGAGGCTGACTTGAGAGTGGTTTACATCATCACTCTTGTTAAGTTTTGGTAGCTACCAGGAATGCAAGAAAACCCAATCCTTTCTAGCCATCATTTCTTATCATGATGAAGATGGTTATTTCTTCTCTTGAAGAGAAATCAGAAAGAGGAAAGGGAGATAGACAACTTTTATTTATTCTAAGTTTTTTGTTTTTCCTCTCAAGATATTGATCTTCATCTTAAAATCTTATTCATCCAAGGCTATGGTTCTCCTTAATGGAGAATGCGTATGTTATGGAATATGCTTTACCTCTATAAGGCAATTTTTTTTGGGGGCGGGGGAGAGGGGACACCCAGCTGTGCTCAGGCTTACACCTGGCTCTGTGCTCAGGGATCACTCTGTGATGCCTGGATTTACATATGGTCAAATTAGGCACGTACAAGGCAAGTGCCTGATCCACTGTAATGTCTTTCCAACACCTCTAAGGCAGTTTCTTTTTTTTTTTTTGGCTTTTTGGGTCACACCCGGTGATGCACAGGGGTTACTCCTGGCTCATGTACTCAGGAATCACTCCCGGCGGTACTCAGGGGCCCATATGGGATGCTGGGAATCGAACCCGGGTCGGCCGCGTGCAAGGCAAATGCCCTACCCGCTGTGCTATTGCTCCAGCCTCTCTAAGGCAGTTTCTTTGATGAAGAACTTTGTTAATCTCTATTCCTCTTGGGTCAGAGATCTGGGCATTTCACATGGGTGTCACCCATAGCTGCTAATATATGATGAACTCAAATACAAGTGCTAAAACATGTTGTTGGGCGTGGGGTGGGTGGGGGAGTACTTGCTCAGCAGAGTACTTGCATTGCCTGAGTGATGATCAGAGCCCTGGATCTGACCTCCAGCACCATCAAAAACAAAACAAACAAAAAGCATAGTGTGTTTTGGAAAATGATCTCTAGTTGAGTATCAATAAACCAACTGCTGAGGAGATTCCCCAGCTCCCTTCTCCTCTTTAGGTCTTTGACCTGAACAGGCCGAAGGAGCCTCAAGGAAAATTCTCTCTTTTTTATTTTTGTAGTTGGTTTTGGGCCACACCCAGTGCCACTCAGAATTTATTCCTGGCTCTGTGCTCAGGGATTACTCCTGCCAGTGTTGGGGGACCTTATGCAGTGCTCGGGGATCAAATCCAAGGATAACTCTCTTCTATCACCAAATAGTCTGAAGGCGATGGCTGCTTGTCCACTGGGTTCTCATCCAGGTTTAGCTCCCTCCCTCAGCAGTTTTCTGTTTCTGGGCAGGATTGCTTTTAGGAGTGTAGGAAGGAATGAAAGAATGGGACAGCAAATAAGGGAATCTCTGGAAAGAACAACTATTCAGGGACTGGAGATGGAGCGATAGCACAGCGGGTAGGGCGTTTGCCTTGCAACGCGGCTGACCCGGGTTTGATTCCCAGCATCCCATATGGTCCCCTGAGCACCACCAGGAGTAATTCCTGAGTGCAGAGCCAGGAGTAACCACTGTGCATCGCTGGGTGAGACCCAAAAAGAAAAAAAAAAACTATTCAATTAAGGAGGAAGTGTTCTAAGGAAATCCGTCTCAGCTTTTTTTAATGATACTTTTAATTTTTATTTTATTTTATTTTTTATTTTTTGCTTTTTGGGTCATACCCGGCAATGCTCAGGGGTTACTCCTGGCTCAGCACTCAGGAATTACTCCTGGCGGTACTCGGGAGACCATATGGGATGCTAAGGATCGAACCCGGGTCGACTGCGCACAAGGCAACCGCCCTACCCACTGTGCTATCGCTCCAGCCCCTCAACTTTCTTTAGTTTACTAATTGAGAAAAAGAATAAAACCAAGACTTACAGAACTTTGGAGCACAAGTGGCAGTCACTATTGTAGGTAACCCGGTCACTGCCACATACAAGTTCACTTGGCTTGATGAAGGAGATAAACCAGCATGTATTAATATTCTGGGTGCACTTGACCTGCAGGAAAGACAGAGATGACTACTTTTTTATTTTTAATTTTTTTTGTTTGGACCAGACCCAGCTGTGCTTAGCGCTTGTTCCTGACTCTGTGCTCAGGGATCACTCTTGGTGTACTCAGGAACTGTATGGGGTTCCAGGGATGAAACCCGAATTGGCTGTATGCAGGGCAAATGCCCTACCCCTTGTGCTGTCACTCTGGCCCCATTGATGCTTTAGATGCTTTAGAGATCTCAGACACTTTAGGTCCTCTCACTATCATCACTGATATTGGAGGAAGGTAGAATAAGAGCATTTAGACTGGGCATTAGGTAAACAAGCTTTGAAAGTCTCAAGTGTTTGACCCTGTCATCACAATATATATATGATGTGATACTGAATATGATAAAACATATAACCGGTGGACAACCCAGTATGAGCTACACATTTCTTTTTTTTCTTTTTTTTGGGTGGGAGGTTGGCGATGCTCAGGGGTTACACCTGAGTTTGCACTCAGGAATTACTCCTGGAAGTGCTCGGGGGACCATGTGGGATGCTGGGAATCGAACCCAGGTCAGCCGCTTGCAAGGCAAACGCCTTTCCTGCTGTGCTATCGTTCCAGCCCTGCTACACATTTCTTATTAGCAGCAAAGTCCCTGTACAGCATCAATATCCCTGTCCAACCAAATGCAAAATGTGATTGTTAGGTAACAGGGAGGAAGATGTCACTTTTTTTTGCCTTTTGGGTCACACCCAGCAATGCACAGGAATTACTCCTGGTTGTGCACTCAGGAATCATTCCTGGCAGTACTGGGGGACCATATGGAATTCTGGGGTTTGAACCCAGGTCAGCTGCATGCAAAGAAAATGTGACTATTTGTACTATTGTTCCAGTCCCTGAAGATGCCTATGGACATTGCAGAGTGATTTCTACATGCTGCTTTAGACAGCAGTGGGCTCAAACTTAGCAGAGATCAGATGTAGAAACTGAAACAGAGAGAATGCATTGTTGGGCTTGAGGTGAGAGAAGTCAGATATACGTTTTGGCGTATCTTGGTTGAAAGTGTGTCCACTACAGCACAGGAAAGAAATGAATTAGAGTCACACCTTACTCACTTAGTTAAAGATACAAAACACTTGCCTTCTCTACCCTGAGAGGGTTTCATAAATTGATTGCAAGGGAAGTGGGCTCAAGAACATAATTGTGCTGTGTGTGGTGATGACTCAGTGTTTATTGTTTATGCTAGTCCCCCCCCCTTTTTTTTGGCTTTTTGGGTCACACCCGGCAATGCACAGGGGTTACTCCTGGCTCTGTACTCAGGAGTTACTCCTGGCGGTGCTCAGGGGACCAAATGGGATGCTGGGAATCGAACCTGGGTTGGCCATGTGCAAGGCAAACGCCCTACCCGCTGTGCTATCTCTCCAGCCCCTATGCTAGTCCCTTTTGACCCCTACCTCCCAGAAGAAAGAGCCAGGGCTCTAAGGAAAAATAATTTTTTCCCCCATTTCTGTTCTTGGGCACCAGGGAAGCAGAGCTCACCTTTGTGTCTTCATAAGACACATTGGAGGTCACAGGATCAAGGAAATCTGGAAAACAAAAGCTTACGTGCTAGAGCAGACAAGGAATATAGCTCAGTAGTAGAACATTTGAATGTGTAAGAATCTGGGTTCAATCTCCGGTACCACACACACACACACACACACACACGCACACACTCAAGGATTCTTAAAAGGCAAAATGAGAGAGACTCTGGTATACAGGAAGCACCAAACCTCATAATCAAAGGATTCCTTTTTGAGTCATGCTGTCTTATAAAGCAGAATTTCCTTCCTTCCTTCCTTCCTTCCTTCCTTCCTTCCTTCCTTCCTTCCTTCCTTCCTTCCTTCCTTCCTTCCTCCCTCTCTTCCTCCCTCCCTCTCTCCCTCCCTCCCTCACTCACTCACTCACTCCCTCTTCCTTCCCTCTCTTTCTCTCTCCCTCTCTCCCGCCCTCCATTCCCACACCTGGCAGTGCTTAGGACTTACTCCTGGGTCTGTGTTCAGGGGTCATTCCTGGTGGAACTCAAGGTGCTGAGTATGGGTATGAGTATGAGTATACGGGTGCTGAGGATTCAATCCAAGTTGGCTGCATGCAAGACAAGTGCTGTGGCCCCTGTACATCTCTGACCCCTAAAGCAGAATATCTTAACCAGGGCTTAGGATATTCCGAGGCGGCCAGAGGTGAAAATCTTATAAATTGGGATGATGGAACTGGAGTAGGAGACCAACTGGTGGGAATGGAGATGCAGAAGAAGGAAACAAGGTCATAAGGGGTTACAGCCAGAAAAAGGTTGGGAAACACTGCCCTGAAGGAATGAAGAGTCAGCAAACTTTTGCCCTTCCTCCTCTCATTAAGTAGAGATCTTAATTCTACCCTTTCCTTTTCATAGGTAATTAACAACTTCTTCAACCTTTCTCAGTGCTTTTTAGACAACACACTCAAAGTTACAATTACCATGAAAGAGTTATATTGCGGTACCTTAAAAAGATACTGGGTTTCATTAAGGCCTATATACTCTGGATCTAAAGCAATTTTTAAATTATAATTTATTCACGTATATAATTATCTGACAATATTATTATTTTGGATACTATTATTATAATATGGAATATGTATAATGTGGTACCATATCTCTCTTATGTATAAGATATAACTGGCATAGCAGTACATTCACAGAGTTGTTAGACCAACCCCACAATCAGTGACATTTAGAACATTATCATCACCCCAGAGAGGAATTCTTTATGTATTAGTGGTTACTTCTTATTTCAACATAAAGTTGGATCTTCTTTTTAAATCCATTCTGACCATTTCTACCTTTTAAGTGAATTGTGAAATTTATTACCAGTGTTTTTATTGATACACTCAGATTAATGCCGCCATTACTACCCTTTATTAGTTTTGGGAATACATTCAGTGGTGCTGAGGGAACATTAGGTACTGGGAATTGAAACTGAGTCTCATGAATTGCACTCTGCTGAATTATCTCTCTGGCTCTGCCATTTTACTTTTTATGTTGTTTGTCTCATGTTTTTTCTGCTTCCCTGTTCTTCCTTTACTGATCTCTGAATATTAGTGCATTCAACACTGTGAATATATATTTTTTTTTTTTTGCTTTTTGGGTCACACCCGGCGATGCATAGGGGTTACTCCTGGCTCATGCACTCAGGAATTACTCCTGGCGGTGCTTGGGGGACCATATGGGATGCTGGGAATCGAACCTGGGTCGGCTGCGTGCAAGGCAAACACCCTACCCACTGTGCTATTGCTCCAGCCCCTGAATATTTTCTTACAATTCCTTGAGTGATCTTTTTCGTGAAATGTCTGAAGATTTTTTTGTTTTTGTTTTTGGGTCACACCCAGCGATGCTCAGGGGTTACTCCTGTCTCTGCACTCTAGAATTATTCCTGGGGGTTCTTGGGGGACCATATGGGATGCTGGGGATCAAACCTGGGCCCAGACTCAATCCCTGTCACCACATAGTTCCTCTAGCACAAGCCCCTGAGTACTGAGCCAAGAAGCAGCCTCTGAGCACCACTGTATATCACAAAATGCACTGTAGCACTGTCCTCCCATTGTTCATTGATTTACTCAAGTAGGCACCAGTAACGTCTCCATTGTGAGACTTGTTGTTACTGTTTTTGGCATATCAAATATGCCATGGGTAGTTTGCCAGGCTCTGCTGTATGGGCGGGATACTCTCCGTAGCTTGCCGGGCTCCCCAAGAGGGACGGAGGAATTGAACCTGGGGCGGCCACATGTGAGGCAAATGCCCTACCCGCTGTGCTATTGCCCCAGCCCTTATCACTTTATTCTTCCTTCTATCCTCTTATACTATGGTTTTTTATGCATACTATATTTGTATGTTACAAACTCAACATTGTATTTGTGTAATAATATTTAATATAATTTGATGTTAATATAATTTTTTATAATTAGAGAAGAAAAAATAGCAAGTACACATTTACAGAATTTGTTATATTCACCTTTGATTTACTATTTTTAGTTTTCTTCATTTGTTCTTGTAGATTTAAGTTAGCATCTGGTGTTATTTCCTTACATTAATATAACTGCTTCCACTTACTTCCTTTGTGCTGTTATTGTCAAATATATTTCACATATATGTTATAGGTTCAACAATGCAACAATGCAATTATACAAATAATCTTATACAAGAGTTTAAAGAAAATTAAATTGACTCATTCTATCTTTTATAATTACATAATCGCATTTAACATACCCTATTACTTCATGTGGACTTGAAGTGCTGCTATCTACTGTCACTTGCTTTCAACCTGAGGAATTTCCTGAAAGGTCGTTGTTGTTGTTGCTGTTGTTGTTATTATTATTTCTAAGTCCTTATTTTTTAAAGGTTGAGTCTATTAGCAACTCATATTTTTTTGTTTTTACTTTTTATTTTTATTTTATTTTATTTTTTTAATTTTTGCTTTTTTGGGTCACACCTGGCGATGCACAGGGGTTACTCCTGGCTCTGCACTCAGGAGCCACTCCTGGCAGTGCTCAGGGGACCATATGGGATGCTGAGAATCAAATCCGGGTCGGTCGCGTGCAAGGCAAACGCCCTACCCGCTGTGCTATTGCTCCAGCCCTGTTTTTATTTTTTAAAGCCTGGAAATTTTTTTCAGGGTGGGCGGGGGGGGGGGTACGGGGAAATGGCACTCCCTGTGGCGCTTGGGGCTTATTCTTGGCAGTGCTCAGGGGACTATGTGGGGAATTAAGAACTGAATCCATCCTTCCTCCCTCCCTCCCTTCCTTCCTTCCTTCCTTCCTTCCTTCCTTCCTTCCTTCCTTCCTTCCTTCCTTCCTCCCTCCCTCCCTCCTTTCCTCCCTCCTTCCCTCCCTTCCTGCTTTCCTATTTTTGAGCCTCACATGGCATTCCACAGGGGCTTCTCCTGGCTGTATGCTCAAGTGTTCTCCAGCAGTGCTAGGGATGACAAACCATACACAGTGCTGGGGATTCAAACTGGGGGGATACAAGGTAAGCACCTTAACTGCATACTATCTTTCTGGTATACAAAAGACTTTGTTTTCATTTTAATTGATTTATTTTGTGTTTTGCTCGAGCGGGCCCAGTAACGTCTCCATTGGAGACTTTGTTGTTACTGTGCCTGGCATATCGAATACTCTCGGTAGCTTGCCGGGCTCTCCGACAGGGGCGGAGGAATTGAACTCGGGTCGGCCATGTCGAATACGTCATGGGTAGCTTTCCAGGCTTTGCCATGTGGGCAAGATACTCTCGGTAGTTTGCCAGCTCTCTGAGAGGGGTGGAGGAATCGAACCCAGGTCAGCTGGGCCGGCCACGTGCAAGGCAAACTCCCTACCCGCTGTGCTATCGCTCCAGCCCATGTGACCCCTAAAAAATTAATTTTTTCAATATATATTTTTTGGTTGTATTTTGTGATATACAGTGGTGCTCAGAGGTGCTCCTTGGCTCAGTACTCAGGGGCTTGTGCTTGGGGAATATGTGGTGACAGGGATTGAGTCTGGGCCTCCCTCATACAATGCACATGCTCCAGTCCATTGAGTGGTCTCCTTGGTCTCAAAAACGTTTATTTGCTTATTTTTTGTTTGGGGCCATTCCCAGCAGTGTTTAGCGGCTATTCTCAGATCTGTACTCAAGAGTTGCTACTATCTGCTTGGAAGACCATATGTGGTGCCAGGGATTGAAATGAGGTCTACTTTGTGACAGGTAAGTACTGGCATCAAGCCTGGGTTAGTTGCATGCAAGGTAAATGCCCTCCCTGCTGTACTATCTCACGGGCCCCTAATGATGCATTTTTTTTCTGGTTGCAGAAATGGTTATTAAAGAAGAAAGCTCATAGCAGTATGGATTGTGGGTTAGAGGAATTATAGCTGGAGGCAAAGGGATTAGTGGAAGAATATGTTTTCAACTTTGATGACAATCGAGAATCACTGTTCTGAGTAGGGGCATGGATTTGCATGCTGTATGAAGTACTTTATCAACTGAAAATGGAGACTGGATTTAGGAACACAAGAGAGAAACACAGGTGAGGGAAGATATAATTCACAAAATTAGGTGAACAAGAACGGAATGAATTTTAAGACAAAGGGCTGCAGAGACGTACAGGGAGTAAGGCTCTTGTCTGGTATCACTCCTACTCTGGTTCAAATCCCCAGCACCACAGGTAGTTCCCCTGAGCAACACTAGTTACTCCTGAGCACAGAGCCAGGCACAGCCCCTAAGTGCAGTACTAGGTGGGGCCTCAGACCTCCCTTCAGAAGTAAGGGATTGAGGGAGGCAGAAGAGGGAGGAGCCAAGATTCAGCACACAAATCACACAGTGGTCTTCCAGGAAGGTGATATATTGAATAGTGTTCTCAGTAACAGTAGAAAAGAGGATTAATAAAAAATGACATGTAGAAATAGATCTAGAGTACTTAGGAGAGGATTAAGTTTGGGGAGGTATAATAACTAAATAGAATGGGGACCAGAGAGATAGTACAATGGTTAGGGCACTAACCTTGCAGGGACCTGGCTTCAATCCCCAGTATCCCATATAGTTCCCTGAGCACTCCAGAGTGACCCCTGAGTGCAGAGCCAGGAGTAAGCACAGAGAACTTCCAGGTGTGGCCCAAAAGCCAAAAAAAGGGGAGTCAGATAGGGGACTTGGTCGAACCAGGGTCCATCCTCAGAACTCCACCAGGAATAACCACTGAGCACAGAGCTCGGAGTTAAGTCCTGAGCACTGCCAGATATGCCTTCCCGGTCACTCCCAGAAAAGGTTTGGCTTCTTTCCTCAGTTTTTGGCATAGAACTCCGGAAGCTATTGTAATTTCCTGAATTGTAGGGGTGAGAGGAGTGTATTTCTTATTCTTAATAACCCCCTTTCAATCATACACCTGAGTTTGTGCAGATGAGAAGGCTCCTGGAGGACAGAGGCTGCTGCCAAAGAAACCAGTCATATGATACGGAGGCTGGAACTTTCGACCTGACCACCTAACCTTTGAGAAGGGATAGAGTTGGAGATTGAACAACCACTATTGACTTGATGATTTAATCATTGTGCCTTCAGGATGAAACCGTCATAAAAATTCTATAAACAAAGAAAGTTTGGAGAATCTCCAAGTTGGTGAACACATTGATATAGGGGGAGGGTGGTGAATCCTGGACCCCTTCCCACATATCTTGTCCTGTTTATCTCTTCCTTTTGGCTATTTTCCCCTCCCTCCCCCATTTGGCTATTCTTGTTTGTTTTCCTGTTTTTGGGCCACACTCAGCTGTGCTCTTTGTTCAGAGATACCTCCTGGTAGCACCCAGGGGACCACTTCGGGTGCTAGAGATCGAACTTGGGTCATCTGCATGCAGGGCAACCTTACCCACTGTACTCCAGTCGCTGTTTGGTTATTCTTGACTTCTGCCTGTTTTACTAACCTGTTAGTAGGTAGGCATTTTCCTGAGTTCTGTGAGGCATTCTAGCAATTTTTTGTATTCCTATTTGGATCACACCTGGCGATGCTCAGAAGTTACTCCTGACTTTGCACTCAGGAATTACTCCTGGCAGTACTTGGAGGACCATAAGGGATTGAGGGGGCTGGAGTGATAGTACAGCAGGGAGGGTATTTGCTTTGCATGTAGCTGACCCAGGTTTGATTCCCAGGATCCCATATGGTCCCCGAAACATGCCAGGAGTAATTCCTGAGTACAGAGCCAGGAGTAACCCTTGAGCATCACCAGGTATGACCTAAAAAGATAAAAAAAACACAAACAACAAAACAAAACATAAGGATTAAACCCAGGTCAGCTGTGTGCAAGGCAAATGCCCTATCTGCTGTACTATCACTCTAGTCCCCATACTAGTAAACTGCCAAACCCAAGGTAAGAGTTATGGGAATCCCTGATTCTTGACCAGTCAGAAGTACTGCAAGTTCTGACTTGTTATTGGCATCTGAAGTTAGGGGCACTCTTGCAGGACTGTCCCCTTAGCTATGGATCTGCTGGGTAGTTAGTGTCATATTTGAATAAAATTGTAGGATATTCAGTTGATGTCCACAAAACACCGGAGAAAAGAGGACTCACACATTTGGTGTCAGGAATGCTGTGAGAAGAAGGAACTCATATTTTTTTCTTTAATAGGGGAGGGAAAGTATTTTTTCCCCCTGTAAGATAGGAGAGTTCAAGGGTTAAGGTGCTTGCCTTGCATCCCTCTGACCCTGGTCATTCCCCAGGCACACCAGGGGTCACTCCTGAACACAAAGTCAAAAATGGCCCCCTGATTACTGTAGGATGTGGACCCCAAACCCTCCCCACAAAAAAAGATAGAAGAAGCATGAATTTTCAATTTGTTACAGAATTTCTTAAATTTTAAGAAGCTTGAAAAATATGTTTTAGTGAGGGAGCACCAATGAAAATAATAGATTGAAAGCCATTGAGGAAATTTCACAGTCCAAGTGGAAAAGAATGTACTTAAGCCCTCAGGGGTTCCCTGGAGTTAACTCCCTGCTTATTCCAAAACAAGCTGTGAATCATAATGGTACAAAAGTTAGCTTCCACAGAGTCTACTGAAATTAATTCCAGGTCTGAGAAGTGTAGATAAATATACTCTGGGAATGAAATTTTCTAAGGTTTTAATGTCCTGGATGGTAAACCATATGCATATATATATATATATAATTATATATATATTTTAAATTGAATCACAGTGATATATGCAGTTACAAAGTTGGTCATGATTGGGTTTCAGTCATATAATGTTCAAACACCCGTCCCTTCACCAGAGTAGATTTCCCATCACCGGTGGTCCCAGTTTCCTATCCCCCATCTCTTCCCTGCTCGCCTCTGTGGCAGATCCTTTCTCTCTCTCTCTCTCTCTCTCTCTCTCTCTCTCTCTCTCTCTCTCTCTCTCTTTCTTCCTCTCCCTCTTTCTCTATCTCTCTCTCCCCCCGCTCTTGGACCTTATGAAAACCAGATATTGTGAAAAGGTCAATGGACATGAACTTGGAAATGTTTAGATTTGAGTCAAAACTTTAAGATCAATGACATTGGGTATGTGAATCCTTTCATTCTGAGCTTGCATTCTATATCTATACCCTGGGAAATTCAGATTAAATAAAATTAATGGCCCCACTGCTCCACCCTAATTTCCCAATGATCAGGGATATGCTGAAGAAAGTACAGGTAGAACAAGGACTTGTAACTCACCATAGGCAAAGGTAGCCCAGGCAGAGATGGTCAGAACAAGGATGGCTTTGGAAAAGGTCCCCTTCATAGTGGCAGAGGAGCTGTGGAAATAGGCAGCGTTTGACTGGGGGGGCAGAGAAAATCCCATGTGAAGGACAAATTCTCAAGAGACACTTCTCTGATCAGGAAATAAATGCTTCAAGTTTATTTTTCCATTGGGTTATTTGGAATGAATTTTCTGATGCAATCACATTACTAAATTTATTTTTATCCAGAACAATAGACCATTAGGGAGAGAGAGAGAAAGAGAGAGAGAGAGAGAGAGAGAGAGAGAGAGAGAGAGGGAAAACCCTCAAAAATAGAATTTAAGAATTTTCTGGGAAAAGGGTTAATATAAAAATCTTTGCAGAGGATTCTTAGGTGAGACAAAAAGCACAGATAATTTTTCCAATGAAATACTTAAAGATTTATATTTATTTCTGAGGTAAAACAGGCAGGCACTAGAAAGTTCAAAAATACATGTAAATCAGCAGACAATAAAAAAAAACAGGAGTAGACAAAACACCAAACAGTAAACTCTCATATTACTATTTTTTAAAATATTGTTTTGGTCTTTTTTAGAAGGCTTCTCAGTGATGTTGGACGCCACCAGGGCTAGCTAATGGTACCAGGGAAACTATGCGGTGCTGGGGATTTAATTTTGGTGTCAAACATGCACTAGTTATTTTAGCTATCACCCTAGCCCTTCACTCTATATTTTTTCTTCCTCCTCCTCCATACCCCCTTTATTTTTTCTTTTTTGCTGTACTATCACTCCTCTGATATTCTTTCTTTCTTTCTTTATTTATTTTGGTGGGGGCATACCCTCTGTGCTCAAGGGTTAATCCTGGCTTTGTTCTTGTACATACAGTGCCTGGTATCAAACCGAAAAGGAGTTCCCAAAAGCACAGTATGTGCTCCAGTCCTTTGAGACCCTCTCTAAACCCTGCACTCCCATATTCTTAATTTTCTATATCACCAGTCTTCTTTTGTTAGTAATTAGTCATTAAAAATTATTGAAACAAGAACTACAGAGTATTTGCCAAAAGAATACTTATATTGTTGAAAATAGTATAGTAGACTGATATTAAACAATAGTATAGTAGATTGATATTAAACAATTTTTTATACATTTTCTTCATGCTTTCTACATATTTCCATGAAAATTATATATCTAAGTAATTTCCACCCAAAATATCCCCTGAGTTAAAACAAATAACAAACATTACCCTTTCCCTATGAAAGGTTTGTAAATTAAAAGTTCACTTTACCTACTGTGACTTCCTTTGACAACTGCTCTGAGAAACTGGCTGGACAGGATATTTTAAATTTCTAGTTTGTTGATAGAGAAATTACAATGAGTACACAGAGAGGAAGAATATTTGTCTTTTTTGAGGTCACGTTGCTGGCAGAGAATGAACTTGAGCACTTCCTTAGTACAGAATCAGGAGTAACCCCTGAGCATTGCCAGGTGTGACCCAAAATGAAAACAAAGAAAATTTACCAAAAAACAACCAAAAAACCCCAAAAGATACATCAGCCTTTTTTCCCCCCTGCTTTTTGGGGTCATACCTGGCTATCCACAGGGGTTACTCCTGGCTCTGCACTCACGAATTACTCTTGTCAGTGCTCGGGGGACATATGAGATATTGGGGATATTGCAGAGAGAGAGAGCGAGAGAGAAGAAAAGTCCCTGCCATAAAGGTGGGGGTGCGGGGTGTAGGGGGAAACTGGGGACGTTGTGGTAGGAAATGTACACTGTGAAGGGACGGGTGTTGGAACATTCTATGACTGAAGTTCAATCATGGATAACTTAGTAACTATGTATCTCACTTGATTCAGTTAAAAAAATAAATTAAAAAAAATTGAGGTGGGCAAGTAGCCAGTTAGGAAGGCAAGTAGTCAGGTAGGAGATTCTTGGCAATGAGTTTCAGGAAGTTAAAAAGAAAAAAAAAGAAGATTGGGGCTGGAGCAATAGCACAGCAGGTAGGGTGTTTGCCTTGCACACGGCCAACCTGGGTTTGATTCCCAACATTTCATATGGTTCCCTGAGTGCTGCCAGGAGTAATTCCTGAGTGCAGAGCCAGGAGTAACCCCTGTGCATCACCGGGTATGGCCCAAAAAGCGGGAAAAAAAGATAGGATCTGAAAAATAATTTAGTCCTGTTTCCAGTCTTTTTCATAACCAAAAAGTATGAAGGCTGACCTCATTTGGATATGTAAAAACTGAGGTTTGACAAGACCCTGAGTGATGCCAGTCTGAAGGCTGGACACTGTCAGGAGAGAAGAAATGTCTCTAGTAAGATTATGAAGGTTGGGAGAGATGGCTCAAAGTTATATGCTCTGCATATGGAGAGCCTGGGTTTGATCCTCAGCACTACATGGTCCCCCAGCACATACTAGGGAATAGCCCTTGAGCACCACTGTTTCTGGCTCCGAAACTGGAAAAAAAATGGAATATAGGGACCAGAGATAGTGTAGTGAGTAAGAAGCTTGCCTTGCATGGGACAGACCTGAGTTCAATCCTTAGCATCCCATATGTTCCCCTGAGCACTGCCAGGAGTGATTCCTGAGTGCAGAGCAAAGAGTAACCCCAAGCATTGCCAAGTGTGTTCCCAAAACCAAAAACAAAAAACAAAATGAAAGATCACTAAAATTTCCAAGTGTTTCCTCTTTGACAACTCCCTTATCTGCTCAGAAGAATACTAATCCAAGGCATCCAGAGAAAACCTATATAGAGCCCTTCTTAAAAACCTATCAGGTGCTTTCCTCTCACAATTCTCTCTCTCTCTCTCTCTCTCTCTCTCTCTCTCTCTCTCTCTCTCTCTCTCCTTCTCTCTCTTAAAATTGTATCACTGTTAGATAGACCACCATAAAACTGTTCACGATTGGGTTTCAGTCATACAATGTTCCAACAACACCCATGCCTCCACCAATGTACATTTCCCACCACCAATGTCCTCAGTTTCCCTCCCACTCCCGAGATGCCCTCCCTCTGCCTGCCTCTATGGCAGGAGACTTTGTTCTTTCTCTCTCTTTCTCCTTTTGGACATTATGAATTGCAGTACAGGTGCCAAGAGGTCATTGTGTTTGTTCAGGACTTCAGCATTCTAATTAGGAAGGTATATCTGGAGTAGCTTTTGATAACTGGGTGACAGCTTTGGAGTGTGGAGTGCTGGGGCTTCTGGAGTGTGGAGTGCTGGGGCTTCTGGGCCAGGGCAGAGGAGGGAGATAGCACATACCAAACCCAATAAAGTCTGGAGATTTCAGTCACAAAACACGCATACCAAATTTTCAGCAGATTAATATTTTGGTGAGGTTTGTCCCAAGACAGTGGAGTCTGGTCAGGGGCATGGTAGTGATTGTGGATTGTGGGAGCAAGCAGCTACTGAGGGCTCTGTTTGGGTGGGCACTAGGCAAACCTGCCCCTCTCTTATCTATCCTAGTCAGCCTTGCACAGGTCCAAGATTAACTGTGACTTTTGATGTCTTTCGGGTTTTATTCATGGGTCTCTGGAGCAAGGCCAATAAATGAACCTGTATAGCTCATCCAGAGATGCTTTGTGGGTGTGGCTCCCACATACCTAACTTTTGGTGGTTTAATTTCTTGGAAAACTTGGTCTTGACTTGTTGGAGTCTGGCCAGAGGCAAGCAGTGATCTTGGGGTGTCAGGAAGGCCAAGGGCACTATAAGGTTGCTGATGCCCTCATTCCCTGTGTCCAGGTTGATCCGCCAGTGACACTGCATCCTCTGGGCACCAGTGGCAGTGGTAGCCACGGCCCTGACAGGGACCAGGACTGAAACCAGGGCTGCTACTGTTTGCAGGTTGGACGCTGGGGGTGGGCTGTAGCCACCAGTCCAGCAGAACCTGCCCAGGGAGTACACACCTCCATCCAAGGTCTCCAGACAGTTGACGCTCAGGGAGGCCCTTCTCCGTAATATGTTGCAGGTGGCACTGGTGGTGCTGGTTGGTCTGAAGAAGAAATGGTGGTGGGAATGCCCTGCTGGCAGTGAGCTCCCATGGTGGGAACCCAGGCACCTCCTCAACTTGGGGACCCACACGGTAGTGCCAAGCTGGATCCAAAGAGTTCCACTCCTTCACGCTAACTGCTGCTGCCACAGTGGCTGGCTACCCATAGTGCTGAGAGCTGAAGTAAGTAACTGTCAGCTTTGGAGCTTGTGTGGGCGCCACCACCATTTTCACGAGTCTGCCACGGGTGCCAATTTGGTTCTACTTAAAGCCACTCTTTTGGAGTGGAAATATTTAAAGGGCACAGCCATTCATGAATAAATTTTTAGATCTCACCAGCCCCACTTTTCAGAGTGCTGAGAGCTGCTTCTGCTCTGCCAGCTCTCGCTTCTGCTGCTGTGTCTCCGCCTTCTTCTCTCTCTCCCCTCCTACAGTCTCTCTTGAATATGTTTTCTTTTCTCCCTCTTCCTCCGTTTTAGTAAAATTTCTTTATTTCTGTTTTCTCCTAAAATTCTTTTCTGTGAAAGTAGGTAACAAACCCAGGAAACCTGTGTGGAGGTCGGAACTGATTTTTTTCTGCAAAGAGCTAGACCCTCACTTTAGTGGGAGAACCCAGGGGTTCATGAAGACAGGTGGTGGGGACCAGACCAGATTCTATGCTTCGCAGAGCAAGTGGGTCCCAGATGTAGCTTGATGGTGCTTCATGTCGCAGGTGGAAACTTGTATCTACATTACACTGCTCACACAAATTTGATGGGTTCTAACCTTCCAGACTCTTCAAGGGTGAGATCAGGTGGGCTAAGCAAGAGGGCAGTAGCACCCTTACACTCTCTGCTGTGGTTGCTATCTTCATGGTCTCTGGCTGTCCACACTCCCCACTGGCAAGAGAATGTTTCCACATTGACTCAGAATCTTAAAGTAGAAAGGTATGTTACACAGAATCTGCCAAGCTCAGTCTTATCCTTTAGTGGAGTTGAGAAATCCTGGGATGGAATAACCAGTCCATTAAATGGTAGCTCTTTCTACCACTTGGTGAAAAAGCTCTCTCAAAATACCAACTTCCATTAAAGGAAAAGTTTAGAGGTATTGAATAACATAAATTCCTTAGATCCCAGTTGT